CCAAAGCCCTTTTAAGCACTTTCGGCCTGATTTCTGCTAAAAAGGGCTTTGCTCTGGCAAGTCCACCGCCAAAGCCCTTTTAAGCACTTTCGGCCTGATTTCTGCTTAAAAGGGCTTTGCTCTGGCAAGTCCACCGCCAAAGCCCTTTGAAGCACTTTCGGGCGGATTTCTGCTAGAAAGGGCTTTGCTCTGGCAGGTCCACCGCCAAAGCCCTTTTAAGCACTTTCGGCCTGATTTCTGCTAAAAAGGGCTTTGCTCTGGCAAGTCCACCGCCAAAGCCCTTTTAAGCACTTTCGGCCTGATTTCTGCTTAAAAGGGCTTTGCTCTGGCAAGTCCACCGCCAAAGCCCTTTTAAGCACTTTCGGCCTGATTTCTGCTAAAAAGGGCTTTGCTCTGGCAAGTCCACCGCCAAAGCCCTTTTAAGCACTTTCGGGCTGATTTCTGCTTAAAAGGGCTTTGCTCTGGCAAGTCCACCGCCAAAGCCCTTTTAAGCACTTTCGGCCTGATTTCTGCTTAAAAGGGCTTTGCTCTGGCAAGTCCACCGGCAAACCCCTTTTAATATCCCCCATGTATAGCTCACTATAAAGTGGACATCCTTTGCGCTTATAAAGTGGGTTTCCGGTCGCCACTTTATATACCGACAATGGGGGATAAAGCCGTGTTTTGCGCGAGAAACATGCCCTTGGACCTGGAAGATGACTTTATAGCAACGTTGGCTTTCCAGTTTATACCCGGCTGGTTCCCCACAAGGAAACGACTCAATATATGCGGCAATGCATTTTATAGACCGTTGGTTCCCTTCAAAGAATGGCCATAATATGTCACACCATCCACTTTATAGAAACATGTCTCCCCAATGATTTCGGGCCAATATCTTTCTGTTGGGGCTGTATACATGGCAAAGCACTTTATAGAGTGAAACTTGCTCTTTAAGAAGAAGAATTTGTGCTGCATCCAGGGCACTTTATAGAAAGAAAATTGCGGCAGAGCATTTTATAGAGTCATGAGATACATCACCCAAATCACTTTATAGAGCTGCCCAGGACCCCATTCACCCTGAGGACCCCATTCACCCTGAGGACCCCTTTCAAGGGAAATCTTCTTCTCTATAAAGTGGCCAGTCCAGGTAAAACCCCTGAAAAAACAGAATCTATGTTGGACTGGCCACTTTATACCCCCTCCCCAAACAGAGAATGCCTCTATAAAGTGGCCAGTCCAGGTAAAACCCCTGAAAAAACAGAATCTATGTTGGACTGGCCACTTTATACCCCCTCCCCCAACAGAGAATGCCTCTATAAAGTGGCCAGTCCAGGTAAAACCCCTGAAAAAAAACAGAATCTATGTTGGACTGGCCACTTTATACCACCTCCCCCAACAGAGAATGCCTCTATAAAGTGGCCAGTCCAGGTAAAACCTCTGAAAAAACAGAATCTATGTTGGACTGGCCACTTTATACCCCCTCCCCCAACAGAGAATGCCTCTATAAAGTGGCCAGTCCAGGTAAAACCCCTGAAAAAACATAATCTATGTTGGACTGGCCACTTTATGCCAGTCCAAGTAAAACCCTTGAAAAAACACATTTTTACCTGGAATGGCCACTTTATACCCGCTCCCCCAACAGAGAATGCCTCTATAAAGTGGCCAGTCCAGGTAAAACACCTGAAAAAACACATTTTTACTTGGAATGGCCACTTTATACCCCAGCCAGTGGGCTCCAGGACTTTGACCCGGAAACTGAAGGGCTGACAACAAGGTAAAGGGGGAAAACTACAACGGAGAGGTACAACGGGAAGGCTACCACAAGAAAATGAGACATGTCACGTTTATATACGTTTATTGTTTTCAATGTGTCATATTGTTGTCAGCCCTTCCGTTTCCGGGTCAAAGTCCTGGAGCCCACTGGCTGGGGTATAAAGTGGCCATTCCAGGTAAAAATGTGTTTTTTCAGGGGTTTTACCTGGACTGGCCACTTTATAGAGGCATTCTCTGTTGGGGGAGGGGGTATAAAGTGGCCATTCCAGGTTAAAATGTGTTTTTTCAGGGGTTTTACCTGGACTGGCCACTTTATAGAGGCATTCTCTGTTGGGGGAGGGGGTATAAAGTGGCCAGTCCAACATAGATTCTGTTTTTTCAGGGGTTTTACCTGGACTGGCCACTTTATAGAGGCATTCTCTGTTGGGGGAGGGGGTATAAAGTGGCCAGTCCAACATAGATTCTGTTTTTTTCATGGGTTTTACCTGGACTGGCCACTTTATAGAGAGATTCTCTGTTGGGGGAGGGGGTATAAAGTGGCCAGTCCAACATAGATTCTGTTTTTTCAGGAGTTTTACCTGGACTGGCCACTTTATAGAGGCATTCTCTGTTGGGGGAGGGGGTATAAAGTGGCCAGTCCAACATAGATTCTGTTTTTTCAGGGTTTTACCTGGACTGGCCACTTTATAGAGGCATTCTCTGTTGGGGGAGGGGGTATAAAGTGGCCAGTCCAACATAGATTTTGTTTTACCATAGATTCTGTTAACGACTTCGATATAGATATTTGTCTGGCTGTCGGTTTCGTTCGGTTTCGAAGTCATTCGAAGTCTTTTGGGTTCCCCATCGATGAGATCGATGATATTCCCCCAAGGTTTGAACGTGGCCCCTCAACTTTATAGACAATCATGTCGATGCTGCCATCGTCGCGATTAAGAAAATCATCGCTACTACAACGATCGTTGTTTAGCCGGAAATCCACATTATAGTGCCACTGTTCTGCACAAGTATTACTATCTGGATGTTCGGCATCTCACTTTATAGTCATGGGACATGTTCACAAGTACCCTCAAAAACCTGCATCGGGTTTTATGTTTTTACGCGGCCAGGCGACTTTATACAAACGTTGGATTTTGACTTTATAGACAAAACATGTTGGCTTTCCACTTTATAGACTCCAGACATGTGGCCATTCCAGTTTATACCAGGCTATTCTCTATAAAGTCGGCCGCAAAGCATCTAGCGGGCTATACATGGGGGATCTTTTAATCACTTTCGGCCTGATTTCTGCTTAAAAGGGCTTTGCTCTGGCAAGTCCACCGCCAAAGCCCTTTTAAGCACTCTCGCGCTGATTTCTGCTTAAAAGGGCTTTGCTCTGGCAAGTCCACCGCCAAAGCCCTTTTAAGCACTTTCGGCCCGATTTCTGCTTAAAAGGGCTTTGCTCTGGCAAGTCCACCGCCAAAGCCCTTTTAAGCACTTTCGGCCTGATTTCTGCTTAAAAGGGCTTTGCTCTGGCAAGTCCACCGCCAAACCCCTTTTAAGCACTTTCGGCCTAATTTCTGCTTAAAAGGGGTTTGCTCTGGCAAATCCACCGCCAAACCCGGCCGAAGCACTTTCGCCGTGATTTCTGGTTCCCAGATTGGAAACGTCACCGTCCTATCTATGCTTTAAACCGGATTACGGATTAGGTCTCGGATTACGGATTCGACTTTTTGGGGCTTCTGAGACGGATTCCGGGATTACGGATTAAGGTAAGGCTCGCGAGCATTTGGTACAGCTTAGAAATGGAAGAATCTATGGCAATCTACACATGTTTCTTTGCTCGGTCGTTTGACTTATCACAGGGTAGTCACATTCGGTTCGTTGCATTCCCCTGGCTAGATTTCAATCTTCCACTTCACAATTTTATGTGCACATTTTGCCCTTCATACAGCTCAGCCATATCAGCACCACTACAAGATCTCCAAAGCACTTCCTGGCAACAATCCACAATGTACCCTCCGGTAATCAAACGTGGCAATGGAATGTCCTGTATAAATGGAGGTTTTACAGTTATGGCCACCTATTAGTTGTATATAACTGGTTTTTAAATTTACAAATGGGATTACATATTCTATATTACTGTACTCTATAAATGGGGTGATAAGTAGATCCATGATAACTATAATTACTTTACTTCGAGTCATGCCCACCATGACATTTATACGTTTTGTTACTGGCAAATCTTCTGGCATTCTATCTGGCATATCTTCTGGCATATGTTCTGGCATTCTATCTGGCATATCTTCTGGCATTCTACCTGGCATTTTTTCTGGCATATCTTCTGGCACTCTATCTGGCATATCTTCTGACATTCTATCTGGCATTCTATCTGGCAAATCTTCTGGCGTTCTATCTGGCAAACATTTTGGCACTTTATCTGGCATACCTTCTGGCATTCTATCTGACATTCTATCTGGCATACCTTCTGGCATTCTATCTGTCATATCTTCTGGCATTCTATCAGGCAAACATTCTGGCACTTTATCTGGCATACCTTCTGGCATTCTATCTGGCATATCTTCTGGCATTCTATCTGGCATATCTTCTGGCATTTTACCTGGCATTTTATCTGGCATTCTATCTGACATGCTATCTGGCGTTCTATCTGGCATATCTTCTGGCATTCTATCTGGCCGTTGAGGTCCAGCGGTGCTCGCTGAGCTCGGAAGGTCCCAGGTTGAGGTCCAGCGGTGCTCAGTGAGCTCGGCGGCTCCCGGGTTGAGGTCCAGCGGTGCTCACTGAGCTCTGAAGGTCCCAGGTTGAGGCCCAGCGGTGCTCACTGAACTCGGCAGGTCCCAGGTTGAGGCCAGCGGTGCCCACTGCGCTCAGACCCTTGCAGTTGAGGTCCAGCAGTGCTCACTGCGTGCGGAAGTTGGCGAAGAGCTTGGCGAAGAGTTGGCAAGGCGGAAGTGGACATGGAAGTGGCAGAAGTGGACATGGAAGTGGCAGAAGTGGACCTGGAAGTGGATGCAGAGGTGGTGGAGGAGAAGGAGGAGAAGGAGAAGGAGAAGAAGGAGAACAACTCTGATAAAATCATACAACCCTCACCTGGCAGATGGGGAAAAAGGGATTAACAAGTTATAGAATAAGTTTACCAGTTATGGCCCTTATTAGTTGCAACTGGTATTTCAGGCCAAGGGCCATATGTGGGATTTCCCAGCCATGTTTCCCTGTTTCCCCAGGACATGACGCGACGCCTGCTGACGGTCATGGAGGATCAGTTTCCTGGACAGATCGGCCGATTGCAATGCGCCAGTCACCTGGCATATTGCTTGCCATATGCTTGCCATATATGGATATGACATATCAGTGACATATCCACACATGTGAAGAATAAATATACCAGTAGTACCGCACAAGGCGGTGGCGGAAGTTTCAAAAATAGGAAACCTATAGGAGAAGTTGGTTGTTGTGAATCAGGGATGGCAGAGCAAAGCCACTGATTGACCGAAAGGTGGTTGGAGTTGTGTTTGCTGGAATGGTTGCAATGGTTGCAGTGGTCACCTCACCCACAACTGCTGGATGTAGTGTGATGTACTGCAACTGTAGTTGTAGTTGTAGCGTAGTGGGGCTGTAGTTGTGGTGTAATGTAATTAGTGTAGTGTAGTTGCAGTCATATGGTTGTAGCTGTAGTTGTTTTGTAGTTGTAGCTGTTGTAGTTGTAGTTGTTGTGTGGTAGTAGTTGTTGTGTAGTGTTGTAGTAGTAGTAGTAGTAGTTGTAGTAGTAGTAGTAGTTGTTGTAGTTGTTGTAGTTGTAGTTGTTGCTGTAGTTGTAGTTGTAGTTGTAGTAGTAGTAGTAGTTGTTGTTGTTGTTGTAGCTGTAGTTGTTGTAGTTGTAGTTCTAGTTGTAGTTGTTGTGTAGTTGTAGTTGTAGTTGTTGTTGTTGTTGGTGGTGTTGTTGTTGTTGTTGCTGTTGCTGTTGTTGTTGTTGCTGTTGTTGTTGTTGTAGCTGGTGTAGTTCTAGTTGTAGTTGTAGTTGTTGTGTAGTTGTTGTAGTTGTAGTTGTTGTTGTTGTGTGTTGTTGTTGTTGTTGCTGTTGTTGTTGTTGTTGTTTGTTGTTTGTTGTTTGTTGTTTGTTGTTTGTTGTTTGTTGTTTGTTGTTTGTTGTTTGTTGTTTGTTGTTTGTTGTTTGTTGTTTGTTGTTTGTTGTTTGTTGTTGTTGGTTGTTGGTTGTTGGTTGTTGGTTGTTGGTTGTTGGTTGTTGGTTGTTGGTTGTTGGTTGTTGGTTGTTGGTTGTTGGTTGTTGGTTGTTGGTTGTTGGTTGTTGGTTGTGGTTGTTGTTGTTGTTGTTGTTGTTGTTGTTGTTGTTGTTGCTGGTGCTGTTGCTGTTGCTGTTGTCGTCGAAGTTAGGGTAGTTAAGTTAGTGAAGTTAGTTAAGTTAGTCAAGTTAGTTAAGTTAATCAGTGTCTACTTTTTCGACATCTTCACGTCAAAAAAGGCTCAAAACGCTCAGTTTTTTACACTTTTGACTTCGAAATGTGCTTCGCGCCACAACGGCGTGCACTTTTTCGACACTTTTGCGACACCTGAACCTCCAAAAGTGGTCCGAGACCGTCAGTTTTTAACACTTTTGACTTGGAAATGTGCTTCACGCCACAACGGCGTGCACTTTTTCGATATCGGAACTTCCAAAAGTGGTCCGACACTGAGGTGTGTTTTGCACATTTTGACTTCAAAATGTGCTTCGCGCCACAACGGCGTGCACTTTTCCGCCTTCTCAACTTCCAAAAGTGGTCCGCTCCTCTAGTGTTTTGTCCATTTTGACTTGGAAATGTGCTTCGCGCCACAACGGCGTGCACTTTTTCATGTCTCATCTGGCCAGCTGGCTCCGCACCCGCCGCTTTAGCGAGCCTACTTTTCGACCCTCCGGAGCTACAAATCATTGGAAAAACACAGTGAATCGCGACTTTCCTACCTTTTCGCGCATCTACCTCTTCTTTCTTCTGATCTTGTCTCTTCTGACTCTTCTCACCTCTGCTTTTCAACGGTCCATATTGTCGGAAGTTTCACTTCTAAACTTCCTTCGACAAATACATAGATTCATAATAGATATGTGGATATTGTATTGTAGACAGGTAGATAGACATATAGATATTGTACTTGTAGAGAGGTAGGGATGCACACCAGTTATCCTTGCAGGGTATGCAAAAGCTGGCCAGTTACTACATGGATATATTGGAACTTGATATATTATGCAATGTTCATTCATTTTGGGTTTTACCTCAGACGCAAAGCCACTTTGATGCAACATCTATTTCAAGCCTTAATCCAGAAGTAAACCAACCAAATTGGTGGTGATTCTTGAGTTTACCACATCACTTTTGGCTCTCCCATTTCAATGGTTTCCTGTGAGTTTTTCCCTGGAACTAATCTATTGACCACTGGTTTTCCTGTAGCGATGCCCTTGTTGGAAGCGGGGGGGGGGTCCTTGCCGAGGTAAGAACAGCGAAGGCAGCACACCACTGATGGTGGCTGTGGAACATGTGGGTGACAAACCCATGGAGCAGGCGCCCGGTTGAGGATGCTTGAGGATTCAACTCATAACAACCTCAGAAAACCATGGGTTTGTTGAAGGTGATCGTTTATTTTGAAATTGTGACATCAACCATTTGGGGAATCCATGGTTGTTGTTTTTTTTTAAATCGGTTGGTTCCTTATGCAAATCCACAAAAAAAAGAGAAGAAGAGGCGGAAGAGTTTTCGTTTTTCACTAGTTTGAAGGCTTAATGTGTGACAGTGGTTGTATGTTTTCTTTTCTTGCTGCGGTTGCTACAAGGATTCTCAACAATCTGATGATCGCAGGTGGAGCAAATGCTGGAACTGCTAATCCTCAAAGGTGGCAGCAATCCCAAACTCAAGGATTCCTCAGGCGAGGCCTGGATTCAGCATGTCGATGTTTTTTTCATTGGATTTATGTGATCATTGGAGTTAAGAATGGTTAATGTGGGTAAAACAATGCCATAAAGCACCCATTTGGGCATGGTAAACATACCACCTATAAAAAGGGTGATTTGGGGGATGGTTTATGGCATTGTTTTACCCACATTACTGTGTATTTTTTATTTTGTACCTTTGCAGCATGGCTATGGCGCCCATGTGTGTTTGTGCAGGGATGGATGCCTTCAGCACCGCCAAGATTCTGACGAATCGTGGGGATGAACTGGAGAAAGTCCTGCGGAAACTGGCGCCCAAGGTGAGGTTTTTATTGGGAAAGACATGGGAAGATCACGGGAATATCACGGTCATATATATATATATATAATAATTATTATTATTATTATTGTTATATGAATATGTGGTGTTTTTATGCCTAAATTGTACATATCAAAAAGGACAGATAAACTTGGATGTGAAACAAAGATCTTTGGGGGTGTGTCGATTGGTTCAACGCATGTCATGGATATATAGGGTTTTATATATGTTTTTTTTCAATGAAGACCCTAAAATCATCGAAGGAGATCTATAAACTTGGATTTGCTGAAGGTGATTCTTGATTTTCCCATTGGTTTATTCACCATTTGGATCATTTGGGGAGTCTGGAAATCTCTTTGATTTTTGGACGCCTTAAGCAAATACACACATCAAACATTTGGGCGCAACGGTAATCAATATTTTTGAAGGATGAATTTTGGATGAACATCAAAGATTGGATTTTGAAACTGGTGATGGCCGGATAATTTTAGTAGAACATATTGTTATCAACATTTCAGTATACTAAATGCAGCTAAGCTACATGTTCTTGCGGGGTACAATTATTTTTTGCAGGGTATTTTGGCATGTTTTTTTCGTTCCCTGATTTTGATTTGACGAGACCATGTCAAAAATGAACTGGTAATGTGTTTTTTCCCCCGAACTGAATTGGATGCAACCTTGGTCTTCGTCAGCTTCCTGGGTGAATAAGGCTTGACCCAGCTCCCATTAGAGCAGCGATTTCCTGATTCATTGGAGGGGCAGCGGGTCCCAAAGCGTGATCCGTCAACATGGCAGCCCTGTACTGAAACTCACATAACCAACCAGGGGGATCAGGTTGTCAGGTTTGGGCTGGATGTGATAAATCAGGGGACCTCTAAGTATCTGTAAGGACCATGAAGTACCCACATCACAACAGCTCACCTGTGTCTCAGGCGTGAATGGACCCGGCCTGAGCCACGACGAAGACCCGCGTGAGTAGAGCGTCGAACTTCTAGCCATTTTTTTGTGCCAAGATACATTAAGATACCTTTGATTCTGGAATTTCAATATTATGTATATAATTGTGTATATATATAATATAATATATACATACAATATATATATATATATAGATTTATATATATATAGATTTATATATATATATATATATTATAATTATATATATATATACATATACTGAAAAGATTGTCCAGAGATTGATAGTTCTTTTTAATTTGCAAGTTTTGCTTACCAATGGTTGTTTTAAGGTACGTGCTTCAGGCATGTCCAAAGGCACAACCCGGGACGTTGTGGTTTTAGATCTCCACGATCCTGATGATCGCAAGTCACCTGCTGGTTTGTTGTTTTTTCCCCGGGGTAAGTGTTGACACACCAACCGGATGTTCAACCTGCGAGAAGCTGCATTTTTCTGCGAGAAGCTGCGTTTTATGTGTGCAAAAATGATCAAACATGTGGCTACACGGGGTTTTCTTGGAACCATTGCATCAAACAATGCTTGACAGATGTTGACAGGACGGATCAGGACGGTTGATTGCCGTGATACATCCCTGCAAGGGAGTCCTGGGTTTCCAAACCATCAAAACAAACTACCAGATAGTGTACACATTGGCCGGTTTGAGCCCCTCCCCACACGGAAACCCGCGGTCTTTGATTGAAAAGATCTATGATGCGGCTGGCTGGGAAAACCCCTATAGTTGGAGGTTTTATATAATTCGGAAGTCATCAATAAATTTTAAATGGCTGATTTTCCAGCACGATGTTTGATCATCGAAGGCTGCAAACTGTGCCTCTCCAGTCAAAAGATGGTACCGAAACCCAGTCAACAGTAGCATAATATAAAATAATTAGATATTTGTTCAAAAGGTTTCGTATAATACTATTACATCATTATTCAAATGAAATTATATAGATATAAAATCGAGAAACAAAAACATATACATCTTTATCCGCACGAATCCGTCATAATGCCTGGTTGTGGTAGTGCTGTATACATAAACCACCCAGGTGGGCTGTCACGGTGTTGTCCAACATACTTCAACTGGCGCCTCGGCTAAGCGGATAGGGGACACCTGTATGAGTCATTTTTGGTGGGACCCAGGGGTGGGCCCGATGTTGGTTCATTGATTCATGGTTTTCTGGTGGAAATTGGGATGGTTCATGGTCAGCTTTACAGTTATCATGGTTGGATCGGTGAGGTGGCCGCAGTGTTCTGCCTGCGTCCGCAACCAGAGATCGGCACACGCTTCACGTGGGTAGGTGCCTGGTTGGCACTTGATCCGGGTGTTGGAGTTTACCTGCCGGAAAAAAAAAAACTGAGTTGAAGTTCCATGAGACATGGCGAATGAAGGCAGGTAACCGCAGAACATGGGAGCACCATGCGTTTTCATTTGGGTTATTGTCGGATATATCAGGATTACCTTCCCCAGAGGTGAGGCTAGTTGAGTCCCCATTATATGTTGGAGAAGTTGGGCGCAACAACATGCAACAACAAATGCTTGTGGGTCAAGAAGCGGGCACCCAACAACCCATCAGTTTGGTCGTTGAATTAGTGACTTTTAAGGGTTCACAGTTTTGACCCATGCGCAGCTGGGAACACGAAGCAGAAGCCGCATGAGATTAAGTTGAAATTATTTGGTTCTTCCAGAGGTTGTTGTGGGATTTCTAAACAAGAAAAACGCAAATTGTTTGCATGAACATGTGATTGAGATTTTTTTGCCTCAAAAGCATCAAAAACTTGAGCTAGAATTGGGGAATGAACCATGATGACGGTAGTATGCGTGGTTGCACTGCCATGGATGATGGATGGTGACCATCCCCAATCGCAATAGGAGTTTGGCACATTTTGGCCACCAAATCCAATGGTAGATGAGATGAACCATCTTTGGGTGGAAAGGAGCCGGAACCATGAAGGGTTGCGCAGCTGGATGAATTTGATTTATTTGTTTTTTCCTCCGCCATTTGGGGTGACGACCCCCGTGGCCAATATACTTCTCAGGGGGTTGTCACATCACCAATCAGTAACTCTTCGACCAGTTTCGCAAGTGGGATTGTCATGAGAAGTGTGTTGATTTGGGCATGAATCGGGCCCACAAAGTTATGTAAGCTTCAAAGTTTACCTCTGTCAAACTTATTGTGTCAAACATATCTCCGTCAAACTCATCTCTAACTTACCTCTATCAAACCATTGAAAATATCACATGGCCATACATGGCCAGTATTTGGGAAGTTTGTTAAGAATCACCATTCAGTGGCTGAACTCTTTCGGTGTCCTCCTGGATTGGGAGGGCTTCATTGACCGACATCACCATGGATTCGTAGGGGACATCAATTCAATCATGCCAAGAAACCATATGAAAGTTGGGGCTATCCCATTTTTTGTGAAAATATATTTGATGAACTGAAACATATGAACACATGAATTAAGAGTAGTCATAGCTGCCATGATTTTAACCCGCTGGTATATTATGTCCCAGCCACACCAGCTGTCACCAGCTGTTTGGACCCAGGATTTAGCTGTTTTTGCACCTGGTTGTGCCTTGCCATGGGGCCAGGTGTAGCCTTAGCCACCCTTGGACAGAGTTGGTCAAAGGGGAATCAAGAGCGGCGTAACTCGCCACCGCCAACTGGCGCAAACTGAGAAGTTGTTTATTGAGAAATCGGATTGATAGGATAGATTTAAACAATGTGTGTGTATTCCATTTGATTTTGGATGTTTTTGGAAGGTTATCCACTCACTTGCTTGCAACGGTGCAACTTCCCAACCGGATGACCAAGCTCTTCTTCGATTGTGGTGCAGTGTGGTGAGTATACTTTGTAGCGAGCAAGCCGCAGCCAAGATGATGTATACAGCTGGGTAGACCTTTGTTGGGCACTGTTGGGAACATCAAATCCAGCTGGAGATGACCCGTTTGTAGGTCGCATTCTCCAAGACTAGTCATGATGTGTAGCGGATACACGCATACTGTTTGTATATACAGTATTATATTATACAGTTATTTTGTGGTAGATATTATTATATTGTAATATTTACATATTATTTACATTAACAATTATTAATATACATATAATATACACACATTTGGAATTGCTGGCGGCTCAACGCCTGCGGGCCGCAAGGAACATGATCCAATACTTCGAAAGCTTCCCCAGCCTCCCGGCAGTGGGCCTAGGGGTTTGGATAGGGTCAGAATCAACTATAAATATCTCTATCTATATATCTAAATATGTATATATATATATATTTAAAGATTGATTATATATATATACTATATATATATGTGATATATATATATACTATATATATACTATATATATATACTGTATATATATATATACGTACTGTATATACAATATTTAGACTTGCATATAGATACATAGGTATGGTTTCGGATGCTTCAGTCCCTACTGACTTGGCCATCCCGTGGCAGCCGGACGTAGCCGGTACCTTTTGCTAGCCCATTGTTAGCCCAGAATCCAAGCAGAACGGTGTTTCGCATGTCTCATGGACACATCTTGCCGTGTTATGTTGGATGGATTATAGCATATTATAGCACTACACACCTAGGTTTTTTACCGGTTTTGTTGCTAGACTGTGTATTGTTTTGTATAGATACCATGTCTACAGCTTGCTATGGGGAAAATGTCAGACTTGAACATGTTGTACTCACTGTAAAAAAACACATGTTCATTCGAGTCTTACCTTGAAAGTTAACCCAACAATTATTGGCTATGGGCTATGGGTCAAAGTAAGGCACCGCTGTTGTCCACAGAATTGTTCATCGCATGAAACTATCCAATTTATATATTGGGGTCAAATAAACATCATAAATATTGGCTGGTTATTATGCTCAGTACTAAATTCTTGTTGATATTGGGAAATATAAGCAGTAAAAATAACCATCCACATGGTTTCGTTTTTTTTTCCTGCCCCAGGCTACTTCATCGCTTTCCACACCATCAGCCGCGGCGGCACCCGCATCTTGCAGCTCTTCTTTTCTGTGGCACCGCAACTTGGTGCAGAACTCTTCGATCCCCAAGGAGTTGGGGGTAAGCCATCTATGCATGTATAGATATATCGATATATCCACAAATTATAGAGCACTAAATCACAGTTATTATGCATGGTTTCTGAACAGCATCCCGTAATGATAGATTTTGCTTGTTGGGTTGCATGCATTAGTTGCTACTAATGTGGTAAACCCAATAATTGTGGGATTGTGGGTACATTATTGTGGGGATATTATAATGGATAATGATAGTGGGACGGTTGATGGTAATGTGGAACACCCAATAATAGACCATCCCCAATCGAGTTCCATTATTGCAGTATATCTCCCTTTTTGGGATTATATAAAAGAACCCCCGAATGGTTGGTTAATGGGATGGTTTATGAAGTTATTTTTCGGTTTACCACATTATACTGGCGATGAACCTCCAAGTGGCCCTGCTCAGACGCGCATGTTCTGTTGTGGGATCTATTGATGGTTTTTCCCTTGCGTAAACCGCATAGTTTACTGTATAGCATCATATAGCCGTATAGCATTGTGTTTGTCGTTTCAGGGATAGGATATAGAAGAAAACATGAGAATCAAACTTTCACTGGTGCAGCACGGCCATATGGGGCATCTCCAATTCTTGAATATGACCAGCGACTTGGTCCTGAATTTGTGGCGGGTACTGGTTGAAGCATAGGTCGGTTAAATCCTAGTACCAAATGCAGAAGGGGCCATACTCAAAACGTGGATGTTATATGACGTTATTCCCAGGTTCAAGGCTACGGCCTAGTTTTTGCCCATGAGTTTGGAGTCCTCTAGGCATCGAGTGTTTTTCATGGTATCCCAGAGGGTGTTTTCCATGATGTCCCATGAGAACTACTGTAGTGGGTTTTGCCCCAGATTTCACCGATCCCAGGCAGCTTCGGCGCGTACATGTCGATTTGTTAGTTGTGTGCCAGTACGAAATTGGAAGTTCCAATTTTGATTTTTCTAGATATATAATATTATATAATATCTAGATATAAATTATGGTTTACATGTGTTTGCACACCATACACTGCCCCTATATATCCTACAGTCATAGCCTCTGAAAAGACCAAACAAATCGTCATTTACCACTAAATTAGTAGGATTTTACTTTTTCATATGTTGTTTGGGATTTTCCACATCAGAGGTGTCCATTGACATTAAAGGATAAAATGTTTTTAAATTACTTTTTTTGGTTGGTTAGGTATCTCATTAAATCCCATTAAATCGCTACTGTTGATGGTTAAACTCCCCAAAGGTTGCTTGTTGCTTAGTTATATATCCCAACTGGTTTCTTAGTTATTTCCCAAATCCCAAATGGTTGGTTGTATCACGTTTTATCCCAATTGTTGATGGTTAAATCCCACATGGTTATATCCCGACACCTGGGAACTGTGAGGTTTTTCTTCGCCTTTATCTTGTTGGGCGTGTGTCTCTTCTGGAAATCAGCGATGTTCTCAAGCCCGGAGAGTGCCGCGGAGATGTTATTCTCCCTGATGCGCCTTGGATGGGACTGGGGACTTCATAGGGGCCAGATTTGGGGACAAAGGTATTGAGAGATTGAGGATTAATTCTAGATGAATGGTCTATATGTGTGGTTCTTGTAAATGGAGATCATTTTATATTATACAATAATACAACATAATGATATACTGTATAGGAAAACCTGGAAACACATGTCTCCTGGAGTCATTGGCTCTTCATAGGGCTTGATACAGGTTCCTGAACCCAAATGCTTGGGGATAATTGGGATAATCTTTGAGACCCTTTTGCTGTGTTCCTATGATTTCTTAGTTCCTGTTTTTTGGGGGGGATGTGCTAAGGTTTGGTCAGAAATTATTTTTCAAGATAACGATGATAAAGATCGTTTGGGATTCCTGGTTGTATTAGTTGGGTGTATCCTCAATGAGCTGGATTGTCACTATATATATATATGTATAAGACATCCTCCCAGTGCTCAACCTCCAGCTCAAAGCTCCAGCTCACCATTGATACATTGCTAAATGATACACCGGTGTTTGGGGTGATGTCCCCAAACTCCGTGTTTTGGCTGTGGGAAATCCGAATACTGGACGTTTGTAGGTTAAATGGGTCAGGATAGTACTTAGGTAGTTGATTTGTTTGTGGCCTTTCAGCAGCTTCAGCAGCTATCCATTGCTTGCATCAATCAGATCTTTGTTTTTTTTCCACCAGGGTCAGGAAGTTTCACATCTTTCTTTGTTGCGATCCTCTTTCTTTCATGTGGAAAAAAACAGTTGAGCCCAGCATGGGCTCATTTTTTTTTCGCCAGGAATGGTGACTCCATCCACGACGCCTTCAAAGAAGTTCGTTCTGTGGGTGGCATTCTGTTGCAGGTCAAGATGGTCAAGGGCGCTTTCCGAAAAAAACCTGGATGTTCCCCCAAGATGTCAACCAACAACCAACCATTTGGATCCATTTAGGGGCTTTGCCATCAACATTATAGAGATTTTAAGAGTTTTAGTAGGATTTGATGGGATATCTAAGATATCTATATTATTTATCTGTGTGTTTGCGTGTTTGAATATGGGAATGCCATGGAATGCCACCAAATGATAAAACATGATAAAACAATTATTGGGAAACTTCAGTATGGTAGACCACTGGATTTGGGGGGTAAATTTTGAAAAGTCCCACGGGTAGCAGCCATCGTATGTACCTGTGGTTGAAAGCATATCTTGAGTTGGGCCGCTGACGAATGAAATGAATTATATAGAGAGTTCATGGGAGTAACTTTTGGGTGATTTGGAAAACCACAGTGCTGCTGGACGGTGATTTCTTTCAGTGATCTTCCTGAGGCTTTGTGGGCCGCTAGAGGTTGCGCAAGTGTAACTAGCGTGTTGTCATATGTTGTCATTGCTGCTTTTTGAAATGCTACGGCTTTGGATATCACATGATATCACTATGTTCGCAGGCCTATTTGTATGTCTTCATTTTCCTTGCGATCTATGCCGCTTGGCTTTGCCGGGATGGTGCTGCACCACAGCTAATTATCTACTGGGCTGCTGCGTAATGGAAGGGAGGGGTTTTGGCTACAAAGCTAAACTTACATGATAAGGTGTCCTTTTTCTGTCCATTTGGTGCCTGCTACAGTATTTCAATTTTGCTTCTAAGCATGACATAGTTATTTAGTGAGCCTGTGCAGCTCACAAACCCTATCCCCGGTTCGCCAAAGACAAACAGGATTGATGTGATGTCATCATAAATTGACTTTACAGTCTTTTGATTGGATAAAGTTTGGCCTCCTTGCCACTTTAGATGGTATCACGGTTGGACCTGCCCAATCTTGGCTTTGTAGGTGGCTTATTCAGACCATGGTCACCATCCCTGGGGTTCGAACATGTCTATGAATGAAACGTCGCATTATCCATCAACATTTCATAGTCTAGGAGCCCATTTTATTCACATTTTGATGAAATATCACTAATTAATCTATATTAATCTATTTGTTTATTCATCATGTATGTATAATATACATATATATATATATATATATATGACACATACACACTATACATATATATATATATATCATATATCTAGCATCATCTAACTCCCCATAAATGCCGAAGACATTCCAACCCAAGCCGTGGACATTCCCTGAGCTTCTACGTGATCGACTCGTGATAGCCACTTTGGGCCTCAGGTGATCTTGAACATCAACATTGGAATCGTTGAAGATGCATTCCACGAAGCAAAACACCGTTCTTCGGCGCTTCACAATGCCGTCTGTGGTAAACTGTTGGTAAACTCCTCACATTCCAGCACGTTGGTTGGAAAACTAGACATGTTGGAAGATGTAAGGGTTGAACATAGTGGGATTTCCATTGCAGCCATTTTGATGTAGGCCAAGGGTGGTTGTCCATCGGGTGTCCTTCCTTGATATGCTGAGATTCCTGTACCTGTGGCACCCTGTGTTGTTTGAAACTTATATAAGCATGTACAGATTCAGATGATACTACAAATAATTATGTTATATAAGTTATATATAAGTTTAAGATAGTTTAAGTGTCTATGAGTGTTGTTTGTTGTGAGCAAATTCGTATTGGTTTCCGCTGTTTCCAACTGTTAAGGTTTGTCCGTCAGGTGTTCCTTATCGATTGTTGATGATCATGTCATTTTCCCGCTTGTGGATGGGAGCCTTACATCTCGCCTTCTAGATGTCGTACATGGGTTGATTCAAGTCACCTAAGACTCAACCCCATAATTTTGATATATCTTGCCAATGTTGCGCAAGAACAGCACACTGAACTTTTCAGGAAATCAAATTTATCCAGTCCCATTTATTTCAACGCAATTTCAAGACGTGTCAATAGGCTCTTTCGGCCCCTGGCTTGGTGAAAAAACAGCCAGGCTCGTGGCACTCAGAGCCCGGCAGCGAGTTGGAGATGTATTGAAACGGTCAGGGAATGGCAATACCCAATTCAAAAGATCCACTCCCTTAGTGAATTCAACGGGAAAACGGGATCCCTGATTTCTTTGTGTTGTGGCGGTTCAGGCTATGTGCGCCATCACGATGGGCCACCAGAGCTCCTTGGCCGACATCTTTGGTGAAGCCATCAACGGCGCTTCGTTTTTTTTGCTCATCGGGTAGTTATGGGTTCCTTCTGGGTTTCCTGTGACTTTCGAGATTTTGGATGTGTTTTTTTTTTAATCAGGTTTTATCCATCGTCCTGGGTAATCCATATAATTTACTTTTCCGATGGATAGGGATGAGCTTTTGGCATATCGAAGGGTACGTGGAAATAATATATTGAACTTGACATAACTTGACCATGGAACGTAAATTTACGGATTGTTTATGATGAACAATCTCAGCAGAAACCAATAGCAGGGTTTGGGCGTTTTCAAGCTTCAAACGACCTTTCACATGCCATGGATGCCAGACCCCGTTCAAGTGCCCAACATTTGAAATCCCAGAAGCGGTAGATTTTTCGACTTTAATCAGGACTAAACATTTTAAACCAATTGGGCCAAAACAACTTAGATATCGTTGTATCTAAATGCATAGATAACCTTGGTGAGCTTCACACTGGTGCCTTTCAACAATTCTTGTCCACTTCACCAAGCTGCGCCCAAGTCGCCAGGGGCGAAAGCAACGACTTCTCGGAGCGGGTGCGGCGGGCCATTGAGGAAGAGTCCCCGGAGTTGGACTTTGTGGACGCCTGGCAAAACGGGTTGGCGCGGCAAAATCTGATGAAATCATTGAAACTCCCCATTTTGGCTGGCATCGTTTAACTGGTTGGTGGTTTGGCACATGTCTTATGTTTTATATTGGGAATAATCATCCCAACTGACTTTCATATTTTTTAGAGGGGTTGAAACCACCAACCATTCTTGCCTGTCCCTTAGGAGCTGCTGAACGGTCGCCACGTGGGTGCCGGAAGTGAACCACAGCTTCCACTTCCACCTGCACAGCCTGGTACAACAACCTCCAGGCGGAAGATATGCATCCGTTGATGGGCGGTCTATTTGTCTCTATTTTTGTATAATTAGGGTGAAACAGCATGTTTCAACCATCCTTGTGGTGGTTTAGAATATATATGTTCAACACATTTTAATAACTGTGCTTAAAAAGAAAGAGAGAGCCTGCGTATTTAGATAACAGTTAATAACGCACGACCAGATGCACACGCACACACACACATGAGCCTTTGTGGGCGTTTTGTATATACGCACGTACACATCTCATCACAATGTCCAGTTGGTTACATCCGTAGTATCCAAGCTGCTGCTCCTTCAGTTGAGTCGCAGGTCCACCGCACGTAGCAGCGAAATTCAGGGAACCATTTCCGGCAACCCGCCGCCGCACATGGGGTGAAGTGGCTTATGGGGTCCGCAAGATAGGTTTCGCTTACAACTACAATTGCCAGGATTCATGGTGGACATATGGAAAGTTGAATTGGTGTGTATAAAGGTATAGCTGGAGGTGCCCAACTGTAGCGCAGTGCTTAATGCAACATGTAGGCAGAAATCATACATAACGGCCTAATAACCGCCTATGAGTATGTTTACACAGTTACGATCTGAGCAGATGGCTAGGCAAACATCTCAACGCTCTTTTGCTCTTTGGGATGATGGAACCATGGAGGGTTATCAGCTAAGCGACAATCTAGAAATCTAGTTGCAAATCTTTGTGCATGTATTTTATTAGGGATTGGGAACGTGTTGCTTAACCATGACACTTATTGTCGGTTGTATCCTGCCAGCAACCCATGTACGGAATCCAGTGATGGGGTAGGATGACAACACGCATGAGGGGATCCCAAGTCGACCGAGGCTGGAGACCTTCTGTCAAGTTGAAGAAACATATGCACCCATACCTTATATATCCTTATATAGTATTTATGTATAAAAGGAACAATAAATATATATATATACACATATAAATAATATAATGCATGTTTCCTTCCACATGATGTTTGTCCACCTGCTTGGGGTTACAGCTGTATTGTACAATTCATAGTTGGTGTAAATTTGATACCTGAGGCATCTAGCATCAATCATCCCCTTAGGGCGATAAGTTCGCCGATGCCCAGGTAATTTGATGAAGACTATGTCGGGCAAGTGCCCCACGGCCCACAGCGCTTTCCACCGTTCACTGGGTTTTGGCCGTTCGGTGTGCCTATGTCTTGAGACCATGGTTGTTCGATGTGGTTCGCAAGTGTGGGATTATACTGATTGTACTGCAATTACGTGCATTTCACTAGACTTTGTATTTGATTACATCTATAAAGGTGTCATTTGGAATCTGAATGTCCGTTTGCTTGATGTTCAGATTAGCTTCCATTGTAGCCTAGACAGGCAGCAATTTGGGGATGCTGTGTTGTGAGAGGCCGGGTCATTGGATCGGCAATCGTCCCTATGGATCCAAACACTGCCTCAGAATGCATTTTAGGATCCACTGGGTATACATACATATGTCTGTATATAATATATGTATATATTTTTATTTGATGTATATATTATTATTATGCACATATATACACACTATGTGTATATATATATGTGGAATATATTTATCAATAACAATTCCATAATTCTACGCCAGGTCCTTGTCCAAAATTCAATATTTTCGGCTCAAGACAGAGACGGTCCGTCCAAAAGGGGCCACGCAAGGAGCGATTTGAGTCCTGGGATGTTCCATGTGGGGCAGGATCAGCCCCCATATTAGATTAGAAACCATAGGTTAGTTATATATATATATGTGTGTGTGTAAACGCACACACACACACATATATATATATATATTAACCCATCAAAACAAATGGGTGGTTTATTGATGTTTATTACATTAATTTTATTGCTGTACTAACACTACATAGATGTAATTAATATATAATTTTAGTTTCATCATATTTATTTGACTGAGGTTTTCGGAGATGTGCTAAGTTTGTGATGTCTTTGCCAGTTACTTTTACCACTGAGATATGCTTGGCAGTTACTAGGCAGATAGTCACGCCGCTTACCGCATTGTTGATTTTCATGATTTATATTACTACCGTATTGACGTGTGGCCGTGTGGCTACTCCGTTTCCCCTTTGTAAAGAGCACCTCTTGTGATCTCATGTGATTCATTGGGATGTCACCGGAGCCTAACTGGAGGTTTCAGCCACGGGGGAGTCCCTATGTTCCATAGGTACACTCCAGCAAATTGTCATATTGCTATGGTAGCAATGGAAAATCTACAAGTTCTAGATCACTTAGTAAGGAAACTATGGGTGTTCCATATCAATGTGCACTTGCTGCAGTGGTGTATCACTTTATTGTGAATTTTTCTCCCTATCCATAATGTTGGTTATGTCCCCACATATCCCCACTTATTGCTGGCAACGTGAAGTTGATGAGTGATTATTCCGTGAACCAACAGATACGGTAGACTTATCTCAGATTAGTTGGATGGGAATGACAACTAACCAATAGATGCATCTCGAATTATCATTGTTCACCAGCATAAGATATCATAGATGTTACTCAGTAACTCATAGAAACCCAACAGTGGATCGATAAATCAATAGATATGAAAGGCAAACGGTACCTTTGATAAAATATCCTACCGCTGGATTTGATCATCCACCTAAATATCAATTATGCACCGAGCCAGTAAAGTATTATTTCTTTTCCAAAATCACATCAGATATCAATATCACTGTGTGCCGTGACCAAAACCTGGGGATGGTCATCCCTTCATCCCCCCAAAGGAGTTTAAAAAAAAAAACGCATCCTATTCATGATGGTGGAATCATGTACGTTCTATGCATACATACATACAGACAGACAGATAGACAGATAGACAGACATACATACACACATACACACATACACATATACATACACATGCATGCATGCATGCATGCATACATACATATGCACATACATATGTATATATATATGCATATATGAAGATATCCCAATAGAATGCAATAGACCAATAATAATGATTTTAAGTTCCTGATGGGACAACCGTACCCCATATACCCAATATGTATCATCCGACATTCCTATGATGCTTGAATACTTTGTTATAAAACATCACTTCTGCCAGTTTAAACCTGCTTGTTGATATTGTTGTTGTTGGTGTTCTTCTTCTTCTTGTTTGTTTCTTCTTTAAAACTTACTTTTTGTTGGTGAAAACCATGCAAAACCCATGTAAGCCCATGTAAAACCCATGTAAGCCCATGTAAAACCAATGTAAAACCCATTTGTCGCCAGGATGCAGGACTCCACAGAGGAGGCCATCATCACGGTCTCCTCAGGGGATGCGGCACCTTGGCACCCTCTTTGGGATGTGAAACTATATAATAACGATATTATAATATATTATATACATACACATATATTGTTAATATGCATGTGTATCTATGCATACATATTTAGATATAGATACAGATATGCACATATATGCATATATGCATATATGCATATATAAGATACATATACATATATATATACATCTTTAACAATATAAATATATGTGTGTGTACATTTATATTTATATAATTTTCTTTTATATAAATAAATAAGTGTGTGTGTGTGTTGGTAGTAGTAGTAGTAGCAGCAGTAGTAGTAGTAGTAGCAGTAGTAGTAGTAGTAGTACATGTGCAGATCAATGTGCATTGGACTTGACAGATATTAGTACATATGATATTATATATGTTATGTAATTGACCGTATCCTTTGTGAACAAAACACGATTACAGACTTCTTCGTGATTATTGTTAACTATAGACCCAAGATATGTATTTACAGATATGTACTGATTGATATTGTTTTGTTTTGTTGTTTTGATGTTTGTAGTGAAATATGGTACACACGGGAGACGTGGGGATACCTGGGCGATGTTTGCCGCCGAGGACTTACTGAGACCATCCGTCCTGGCATCAAGACCCAAGGAACGGCAACGGGACGTCCGCAACCAGGTGGGTGGTTGCTACCCACGGCTGGGACAGGGTGAGTTGGTTGAGTTGATGGAGGTAGAGAGAGAGAGAGGAAAACTATATACATATATATATATTGTCATAGGGCCATAGGGATAAGGATGGAAAGGATTCTCAAAGAAAGAGGAACAACTTTGTATGTGTCACATCTATGTGCGTTAAGCCCCAAATTCACCCCATCTAGGTTGTTACAGATGTGCCATCATGGATGCTCTACCTGTCAATGTCCGAATATATCATACCCTTCGGCAATCAAACATGGCCATGGCTAGCTGGCAAAACCTTCTTAAATATGCATTTAAATAGGAACATCATTAACTAAATGGGCGTTTTCCAGCAAGCCATGTAGCAGCCTTCCACCATCCCACAGTGCCATGATTACGCTGTCAGGTGGCACGTCATGGTGGAAAAGGGAAAGGACATCACAGATATTCCGCGGCTCCTATGACGGTCCCCAACTGTTGGCAGCACCTCGGAATGGCGTAAAACAAACCACATCCCATGGAGGAAAACAACGAACAATTAATGGACATGAAGATGATATCCCAACTGAAGATATTTTTGAGAATTCTGAAAAGATAGGCAAAGTTGCAACGCATCGTGAGACCTCGAGGATGGCTCAATAAAAACCTGGTTGTTACAAATACGAGCACATTTCAAAAAATGTGTTTGGCCCATGGTGGCTCCATCTGACCCCAAACTTGATGATGTTTTCCATAGAGGCCCGTGAATTTTCAGACATATTGGACGTTCTTTGGGCATGGTATTGGCTGGAACCACCCATGCTCCCAGTGAACTGCTGAAGGATCTCAAGTATCTCAAAATTGGGTCAAATTGTTGCTTTCAGCTGTTTGGTTTTGTAGGACTCTCTCTTGTTCTGCACATCATTGTCATTGACTTAGATGAAATAGTATCCAGTACCTATCAATACAGCCCTCCATTTGTCAGAACTATAACGCAGTTTTGGTTTATTGAGGTGTCAACTTGTGGCAACCATCCCTTAGGGTTTTGAGCTGCTTATATCGATAATTGGCAATCAATTTGAAAGGAGGGTATATTTTTTTAGGAATTTTTATTGTTTTTTTTTAAGGATTTTTTTTGTTTTTCAGTCTGGAGCAGCTTTCCCTGCTATTTGGTGCAGTTTGGAGCTAAAATCTGTGTTTTGCATGCATTTTGGAGCTAGGATCTCTCATTTGCGCGCCCACTTGGCTTTTGGCTTCAAGTGCCCACTTGGCTTTTTGGCTTTTGGCTTTTGGCTTTTTGGCTTTTTGGCTTTTTGGCTTTTGGCTTTGCTCGGGCTTTCTTTTGGCTTTTAGCTTTTGGCTTCACTTTGGCTCTTGGCTTTTGGTTATTGGCTTTTGGTTATTGGCTTTTGGCTTTTTGGCGTTTAGCTTTTTTGGGCCATGGCTTTTGGCTTTGGCTGTTGGCTTTGGGCTTTGGCTTCACTTGGCTTCTGGTTTTTGGCTTTCTGTGGCCCCTTATCTCCTCGATAAGTCAAGAAAAGACATAATCTGGCTTTTGGCTTTTTGGCTTCACTTGGCTTTTGGCTTTGGCTTCACCTGGCTTTTGGTGTTTGGTTTTAGCTTCACTTGGCTCTTGGCTATATTGTTTTGAACTACTCCATGTTACGGGAAAGAAGGGAAATAAGACTCTTATTTCCCTTAATATACGTAAAAAAAAAGATACATAATGATAGTTGAACTACGTATTCCATGCTTCGGGAAATGAACGCAGGAAAATAAGACCTTTTGGCTTCGGCTTCACTTGGCTCTTGGCTTTGGCTTCACCTGGCTTTTGGCTTTTGGCTTATATATGTAAACCCTAAATAAACCCTAAACCAAACCCTGCATATAGATATATATATATATTAAATACACGTGTAAACGCACTGATCTACATATTAATATACATATAGTCATGATTAGTCATGCATATACCTTTTTACATCTACAATTTGTAGTTTGCACATCGTGTATTTCCAAAAAATAAATGAAAACTTCGGAAAGACCATGAAAACCATGTGCCTTATCTGTATTCCACATGTTTCCAGGGTGCATGTTGTGTAGTCTATACACCTTGAGTATCACATTCAACCCAGCACCTTGTATGTGAAAATAGGTGTTTCCAATCTGCTTTGGGGGGGAGGCGCTGCGCCCTTGTTTTTGTTTCGACCTAATACCTACATAGGTACATGCATGAGTATTGAGCACATTTATATGCGCCCTTCAAGGCTCAAGAAAGAGGTATATAGAGTAACCCTGTAGACAAGCACTGACCGGCAACAGGCTGAGAGTAAAAGAGTGCTGTCATTGGGGAAGACGCCTTAGCTGATCTTGAAGTAGACGCTAGGGCCCCTCTTCAAGTGGTAGCGGAGCAGTGATCCCTCATTGAGGGTGAGCTCCAGGTAGAGCCCAAGAAATGGCAAGCCATGGCTATGATGATGATGATGACTTCGACATTGTCGATGCAAATGAATGGAACCAATATGACTCTTATGCAATGAGAAGAGCACCCCAGCATACACAGATTCATATGACGCAACAGATGACCACAAAGGTTGCTCCAGCCTATGATGGGCGAACCAGCTTCTTTGCTTTTGAGGATGCAATTGATGACTGGTGTGACATTACGGAGTTAGAACCAGAGAAACGTGGTCCAGCATTGCGCAACAGACTGGAAGGAGATGCTCAACAATACAAGAGGCTATTGGATAGAGAACTACTCAGGGATCCCCATGAAGGAGTGCACTATTTCAAAAGATTTCTACGACCTCATTTCATCAAAGGTGCCCAGAACGTGTTCTTATACCGTTTCATGCAGTTCATGAAGTTCAACAGAGGAACAATGGATCTTCAGAAGTGGATGACTAGATTTCAACTCACTGGCAATAGACTTATTGAGTCTTGGATGGATTTACTTCCAGAAGTAACAGTGACTAGTCCTGAAGCAATCCTGTTTGTTCAACAACGACGTCAAGAACATGAACGAGATCAACAAGAGAGAGCTGAAGTAGCAGCAGCCTCAGGAACACCCCATGTAGCTGTTCCTTGGACAGATGAACTGGCACTAGCGGCATTCAGACAATTTCAGGAAAATCGTAGAGAAGCACAGCGACAAGCATTCCCACTGGGTGAAAATTTGCTAGCATTGATTTTTGTAAGTCTAGCTGACCTGAGTCAAGATCAGAGAAACACGCTCACAAGTATCATGACACATCGTGGACGAACCCTCGATCGATACAACATTCAAGAACTACGTGACCTGTTTTTGGAAATGTTTTGCACTACCAAAACAGCAGTTGACAATCCATTGATGCAACCCTCTGGCATGGCACAGAGAAGATCTTTCCTCGTACTGGATGAAGGTGAATTAGAAGGAACCGACGGCTATTGGGCCGAAGATGAAGAAGACGGCGCAGAAGGATTCCTGGATGCCTTAGAAGATGTTTTCTGGGTTTATGATGACGCCAACTTCACATGGTATCAGAGAAGGTTCCAAGGCAAATACATCAGACGAGGCAAAGGTAAAGGAAAGAGAAAAGGAAAAGGCAGAGGAGGACGAAGGTTCTTCAAATCAAGAAAAGGAAAAGGCCGAGGAAAAGGAAGGAAAAAAGGCCGTGCTCACATGGTGAGTGAAGAAGGTTATGAAGATGAATGGCAAGAAGATGAATGGAATGAAAACTATGACGGCTATTGGGCCGATGATCAAACCTGGAATGAAGGCTATTGGGCCTATGATGATCTGTACTACATGGATGAGTATGGATACTTCCAGAAGAAAGGAAAAGGAAAAGGAAAAGGAAAGAAAGGCAAGAAAGGCAAGGATGATGATGGAAAAGGAGGAAAGCCAGGAGATGGAAAAGGCAAGTCGAACTATGTTCAACCTCAGACCACATCAGCTCCTGCCATACAGAATCAACCAACTCAACAAGCTCATTATTCTTCTGCAGCTTCAAGTTCTGGTCATGGTTTCTTTTCATTTGGAACAACTGAACCAGCACGTGTTGATGTTGCAGAGACAGAGCCAGCACGTGTTGATGTTTTGACATCCACGTATGCAGCACAAGATGAACAACGACGTACTCGTCGTGGAGGACAGAACCAACGTGATGCAAGAGCACATCAAAACAGGAGAGAAATGAAGAGATTCCCTGTTCTGGTTGGAGAAGTTGGTGCACTACGACAAGGTGTACAACAACGTCCAGCTGTAGTGCCCAGGCAAGTTGGTCTTCAAGAAGGTGAGGCTTCATGGAAGCCATTGGCAAAAGGCACAACATTGTTTTCATATGGATGCTCTACAGAGATAGAGGAACCATCACAGCAGAGTGCTTTTTCATTTCATACTGTACAAACTGATCTGGCATGTGAGAATGGACTAGCTTTTCACACAGAGAATTCTGCACCACCAACTGTGTGTATTCTGGATCTTGGATGCACAAGAGCTATGGGCTCTCGACGAGCAGTTGAAGCATTTTGCAGATATGTTGACTCACATCCCAACAGTGGACTCTGGTATGAAATTCAGCCAACAAGTTCAAGATTCTTCTTTGCAAACTCACAACAATCAAAATGTACTGAGAAGCTCGTGATATTCATGTATGATCATGGATGGAACACTCAGTTTACAGAATTCGACATTGTCGAAGAAGGTGATGTCCCATTGTTGATGTCACTTCCACAGATGAGAAACCTTGGATTTCAATTTGAACTTACTCCAGAGAAGGCTTATTTGTCCTGTGCACGTATTGGCATGAGAAAAATGGTTTTGAGGACAGCCATTAGTACTCATCTCATTCTCGACCTACAAGATGTAGCATGGTACATGAGCCAAGTTCATTTCAAGACTCCACAAGTCAAAAGTTTCTATTCACAACACGATCACTTTGAGTACAGCCAGATTGCTGTCAAACAAGATGATCATGAAGGAGAAGCTTTGGTGACTGGTGACTACTGGCAGGTTGATCCACTACGTCGTGAACTCATCAGGCACCACAAGGACAAGAGAATGAACTTACATGAGATGACTCGATCAGAGAAAACTCCAATTCCAAAAGATCAACTTCTTGATGAGAGAGAAACCCACATGGAATTCCAGAAGAGCAAGAAGAAGGTTCTTCACAAGGACAACTGGCGCACTGAGAAGAAGAGGTTTTCTGAACAGAGTGAAGAGTTCTGGAAGGGCAAGACCATCTACAAGATCAAGGAGGACTACGTGATCCCAGATGACATTGTCAGAAGTGACATTGATCGTGCAAAGCCCTTTCGTGGAAACATTGATGATCTTTTTCACCCTGAGTCAGCCTCTTCAGTGCCATCAGGTGTACAGAAGAAGAAGCCAAGCTCCATAAAGAAGGAGGAAGGCAAACCGATTTCAAATGGACCAGGCTCGAAAAAGATTGAGGTAGGTCCACCTGCAGCCAAAAGACACGTAGGTAAGCAGAAACCTCAGGTTGTCGATGACTCTCAAT